ACGGAAAGGTTCAACCTCAACATGCTAATCTGGTCAGAGGCTTCAACGTGTACAATAACTTCTCTGCAACTTCACGTAAAAGTGTATTTCCTCACAGATGCTGACACTGCACAATATGAAGCTACACTGTACGTTCCTTAAAAGGGTTTAGAGGATAAAAGCATGTCCATCACGTCTCTGGCTGATGCGTAGCAGCAGGCTGTTGGTTGTCGCCTGACTTCCTGTAGAAAAGCCAGGGAGCACCTGGTCTGAGACTCGCCCTCCTCTCTCCTCCCACACTGCATCTCAGTGCTGCAGCCTCTTACTCACTGCCGGCGGTGTAACACAAAGAGCATGACACTGTTTCTGGTCACAGAGAACTTAAAAAAAAATTTAAAAAAAAAAAGAGCTGCTGTTTTTCTGAAGAGGCATGGAGAAATTGAATGATAAATGCATCGAGACAAGATGTGAGAGTGCACTGCTGAGCAAGCCTTTACTTTTAACTCTGCAAATATAACTGCATCCAGGTGCTACTGCTCTCTCACCCGTTGACCTGATGGGTACATTCTGCATATTGCTGCATCCGACTTGCTGCCTGTTGTTTTTCTTAGTGTTGTCTCTTTATTTATTTAAAGAATTGGCGGCTTTCATGGTTACTGTCAGCCAGGCCAACCAGACGGTTCAACAGAGGAAATAAAATGATTAGTTTAACTTTCACCTCATTTAATATTACTAGTTTGACTTGTACTGCTAGTAGACGCGCTTATATTCAGTACAAACTGTCGAAATGTCAGCATACTGTGTGCAAAATGTCAAAAGCTTACACAAATGGCACTGGTTCAATCACTTGAAATTGTCTTGTTCCTGTCAGTCGGGTTTTATTTTGTGTTGCTGCTGTGCGAAATCTGCGTACATGAGCCCACATGAGCATCCCTCGTCAGAAAAGTCGTCACAGATCAGTTAATGAGTTTACATGGGGTTTTTCAACTTGTTTATTAGTGTGTTGCTTAGTCGTTAATTGTTGTGGCTTTTCTCTGAATGCTCGTGTTTCTTTGCTTTGCAGGTAGATAAACTAGAAACCTCAGAGACTGTAAGGAAAGAGGAGGAGCAGGCAACAGAGACGCAACCCATCGTCTATGGTAAGTCCTCTTGTGACATTCGTGTCCATTTCACTGTGATCAAAAGCAGAGGCAGCAGGCCTCCCTCCATATCTGTATCAGAATACATTGAAGACCCTGAAAACGTATTCAAATAATTATTAATTCATTAATTAACTAAATGTATAGCTGCTCTATAACATAAAATATGTATTAGTTTTACAAGCCTTTTGAAAAACGTATATGTTTAATTGTAATATAATAATATCAGGGTGTTTATAAATGAGATTACGGTATTTTACAATTTTTTGTGCGTTCATCAAAGTGATTGGTAACGGCTGCTTTTAGTACCACAGCTGAAAAGGAAACAACATGGTTCACCACATAAGAACAAATATCAACAAACTAATGAGGATGCGCTGTGACCAAATCTTTAGAGTTTATATCAGAACTGTGGCTGTGGTTAGAATAAAACAGACCAGTTGCATGTTGGAAACGTACCTGTGTGTTTCTTGCAGGCACGCCCCAGTTGATGCTGACAGCGGGCCCCAGCGTACCGGTGGTCCCTCAGCAACCTTACGGCTACGGCTACCAGGCGCCTGCAGGATACAGTCAGCCACCAGCTCAGCCAGGCTTTGGCTACGGCATGTAAAGACCCCGCCCCCTTCTCTCCACATGCAGGCTGGAGCAACCATCCATCCGTCTCCCTCAGTCCTTCACCAGACCATTAGTGTCCCTCTCTGCCCCCCCACAGGGAGTGGGGAATAACACAGACCACCCTTTTTTTTTTTTTTTTTTTTTTTTTTTTTTTTTTTTTTTTTTTTCGCACCCCTTTTTAAACTGTCATGAAGGACTCAGTTTTATTTCTGTTGTCAAAGAAAAAGATTGAATCACAAAGATTAATTTTCTCACATTCCATATTGACTAGATTAATTTTTCTTTTGTCTATTTTATTTGAATGGGAAAGGGTTTATGTACAATGGGGGGGGGGGGGGGCTTGTGAGAAGAGCTAGTCCTCTTCTCAGTAAAAGAAAAAAAAGGTCTGTTGTGAAGCATCTGATTTGCACTCTGTAGTGAAAAGAAAATTAATGTAGAACCTCTTCCTCTTGATGTGTGTGAGCAGCTTCTTCTGTCCGACTGTAAAATGCATTTAATTATTGTATATTCAGACACAAAAAAATGCTATTATGTTCTTCTATATTTGAACATGAGACCGCCGCTTCAGTCACCACAATCCTGAAACACTACGTTGTACCAGTCATGTCCCCACACACAGAAAACACAAGAGTATTTTACATACGATTTACAGGAAAGTTAGATTCTTCCCTGCAAAGCCTATGCAGGACTCTCCAAACAAATTTGTGTTCAGACGATATTTCCATGTGCTTTAAATACTGCTCTAATGTGGGACCATTCCACCTCAGGAGGGACTGCAGACCTGTTTGACTAACATGCCCTCTCTTACTGCTGCGGTTTGTTTCTGCTGGATATCACTGTTAGTGTGCAGGAGCGATTTTTCAAACTTTATTCTCCTCGTGTCCTGTTGAGGGTTATCTTTTGACCTTTTCAGTTGACCCGCTCCTCCAATTCAGAAACCGTATCACAGGACTTGTGGTAATTTGAAGTTTTTATCAAAGGCTTGCGTGTATACAGGAAATCAGTCATTAACTCCTTTGAATTTATATTCTTATCTAAATTACCTTAGATTGAAATTGTGTACTTGAGATACTTTGTGCATAATCAGGATCCTAATGAATGAAACAGCGGTTTTGTTTTCCACTTAAAAATAAAGGCTTCTTGTTTGTCAAGAACGGTCTGATTGTGTCTTACTTGTACTGTGCAGGAGTGAAGCTGTGGGTTACATTTACACTACATCCACTGACATAGCTGCACATTCAGCCTAACTAAAGGGCCATGATGTTATGCTTCTGATGGGAATGATAGATACTGAGCAGAGTGACCATCGGCTGTAATGTGCAGATGAATGAGATGCTGTAGTTTGTGGTCCAGTTTGATATTGCAGAAAAGTTTATTACTCACTCTTGGAATGACTTATTTCGTCTCATTCATGGAGACTGTTCGAGAGCTCTTTATTCAGCTGTATGCTTTTTTTTTTTTTTTGATGCCATATTGTCCTCTTACTTCATCTACCTTGTGTGATGTCTACTATCTTCTTATGCTCGGGTCAGTTAAACGGCAGCATTGGCTCACTTTATGCGTAAGGATGTAGTACTAGCGCCTTCTGGTGATACAAATCAGTGGGTGCTAGGAGTAACGCAGACTAGAAAAAAGGCAGATCTGAGGTGAGTTACTGCCATTCGTAACATTTTTAATATCAACAGCTGGAGGATTGTGATTTAATATTACTTTCAGTAGATGTACAATAAGACATGGATATGATTATCTGGAACAAATTATCTCAGGATGGTTAACTAGACTGCAGCATCTAAGACCAGGAAAAATATTTACTTTTATTTTATTTTTTTTTTAAATACAAATGCCATCCAGTCAAATATCTATTGATGACACTGATGTAACCAGCTCTACTGCAAACAGATCTAACTTAATTTCAGTGACCTCTTTGTATTAGATGAAAGCTTTGCAATATAACTGACAATTTATGAATTCATTTTGTGGGATTAGGATTTGTCTTTCCTTGTATGAAGAGATTTTGGGACACTTGTGTATTGCAGATAAGCAAAGGTGTCTCAACACTTAATGTATTAGTCATTAGGGCACTGCTCTTACGTACCAGCTCTCAGCCATTGTTAATAGTAACACCTTGTTTTTTCCTGCTTTGTCAAGTCAAAATCTCTTATTTTATTGTGCTGGGATTCTGATGAGCTCACCAATACCCATCAGTTTGCTCTGAGCATCATGTCTTCAGACATAGGTGGACTGAACATGACCAGTGTTTGTGATGTTTTTACCGCTGTCACAAGTATCGCTGTAGAGCAGGGGTCCCTAATAAGCAGACCGCGATCCGGACCCAGGACCTAAAACTTATAGATAATGGAGAATTATTAAATTTTGAGGGAGCGCCTCTAGTTTAACCGGCGCAGCTTTTTCAGCCTTTACGGCACTTGTTCAAATATGAGTATGTTGACAAGTTTCCTGATTCGAGTGAGATGTAAACACACGGGAGAGACGAGAGAGAACGGAGTAGAATTATTACGTCAGAGAAGTTATTTCAGATGACGTTCTCCAAAGAGGGAAAAGTGGTCCGCGAGACCAGAGACTTTAACCAATAATGAACAGACTCGTATAGGTTAATTCTTCCCACGGGCAGTTTAAAACCAGTATGTCTCATATGTTCAGAGACCGTGACGATTATTAAAAGCGGTGATATGATGCGACACTACGAGACAAAGCACAACTCTTTTGAGCAAACGTATCCTCGCATCTGAAATGAAGACGGATAAACCTAAGAGTCCAATATGATCAGAATCCTAACACATTAATTCGCTGTCCAACATTGACGTTAACAGCGAGAATAGAGCTGAAACAAGTGGTTTAATAACTACAGATAAAGTCCATGCACACTAATTTATCTCGTTAGAAGATGAGAAAAATATAATATTGTGGCTTTTTATTGGCATCACTTCACACCTGAATGAGCTGAATTTAAAGCTGCAGGACAATTCAGTGAAATTAATTTTTCTGAAATGAATTACTTTATTTTAAGATGCACATTTTTCAAAAGCTTTGTTATGTCAGTTATTCTTTAATCCAGACCTCATTTTACTTGAAATGAGGACATTTATGTATTTCTATGTATTATTTATAATCCATCCAGTTAAATTTGGAAACTGAGAATAATAATAGTTAAAATATAATTGATGTGTACTTTATTTGATTTGACTACACATACGGTGTTACTACTAGGCTTCTTGAAAATATCTATCTATCTATCTCAAGTTTGACATTGTCATGTTCCGGACCTTTGCCCGAGGAGATTTTCTCAATCTGGACCTTTTGGAATTTTAATTGAATACTCCTGCTGTAGAGTAATACACATCAAGCCGTTACTGGTATTCAAGAGTCAACAAATGTGATCAATGTAAGTGCCAAAAACTGCACAACAAAAATCAAGTAGTTTAACATGTATTTGAGTCAATTGTTATTTTGTAAAAATATAAACTCATGGTAGCCCAAACTAGTAGAGCTTCAAGTGTCCAGTGACTTTGTCAATCAGATCAGCTGGGCCGGGACCAATACCCAGCACGGTGCGTGATCCGGGGGCGATTTGAGTCCTTCCTGCGTCCTGAATTAGGCTGATGGGAAGCCCCACTTCTTTGGCATGACCCAGCAGGTCGATCAGGGTGTTCTCGTCGGGGGCCTTCACAACCACCTTGGGCTGGCCGCAGTACTCCCACTGTTTGAGGAGCTCGGGGTTCCTGCGCTGAACCTGCTTGTAAGCCGACACAGCAGCATGGGAGCACTGGGCAGCGACCTTCCCTTTACCCATCTTCAGGTCATTTCGAACCACCAGTATCATCTTGAACTCGCCTCCTTCTCCCATCACTGTTGCTTCACCAGAACCGTTCCCCATCGCCGTACTCAGGCTTTTGGATTTCGGGCCCAGGTGAACCCGAAGGTGCCAACCAAGCAGGAGCCCACAGCCCAGTCCTGCTACTACACCCAGGCCCAATGGACCATATACCAAGTCCATGTTGTTCAGCCTGCAAAAATGACATACAGAATAAAGCAAGTCCATGTCACATCTACACCTATAAACTTTAAGAAATTTATTCAAAACATTGGAAGCAGCAATTAACAAAACAATCTCACTACAAGGTCAATTCACTAACTGTTCAGGAGCTTTTGATTTGATTACACTTTCTTCCCCAGTTGTCTTCTGTGCACTAAAAATATTTTTCCTCCATGTTAGCTTACAAATTGAGATTGAAAGTAATTCTTAAAAGCTCTAGAACTGCTACTCATTGTGTTAAACTTTTGAAAGAGGTATTTGCCCAATGTATGTTTGCAGAACTGATTCCATCCTTTTCTTCTGCGTGTCTAACATAACCGTTTAAAGTGCATTATGCCTGTAGTACAGCATAACTTAACAATTTTAAGTTATTGTAATAGTGTTTCGTAACTGACTGTATACCACATGGCTACACAGTTAGCCCAGTTTTAACATCACATATTTAAGATTTCACCAAATTGTTAGTTATGCCTTTCATAAACTAACGACAACTTCGTGTGCTAACAAGCTAACGCTAGCTAGCTAGCTAAATCTATAGCCATGCTAACGTTAGCTTCCGGTCTAAAGCGAGAACGCTTACTCTCCAAAAACACCGCTCAAGATACATATCACTTGGCAAACAAATAGACTTAAGTTTATATATTTCATTCCCCCATAGTGCCAACCAACACCATTCAGCACACATGATACATTGCAGGTTTCCACTCGTTACATTTCATACCTGCTGGTTTGCTCGATGTGCCAGCAGCAGTATGAATGAAGCTTCATCTACTTTTCTTATTGTCGCTTGGTGATGACGTCAAAGCACCACGACATTCCAAAAGTAGAAAATATGTTATTTTAAATTTAAATGTCTTGTCTAGTCGTCTTTTTGGGCTAAAATTGCACTACCAATGTATAAAAAATTGTAAAATACTGTTTTTGTATATTATATATGATACCCTTTTTTCAGAGAGTATGGGGTTGGATACCAAAAGGCCTCAGTACACATCAGGCATACTTCTCATATAACTAATTGCATTTAAAATATGCTTGAGGTCTAATGCTAACAAGGCTTCTCATGTTGTGAGATACTTTCAAGATGGCAGCAATGATGAGGAAAATGTTAAAAAAACAAAACTGATCCCTAATAAATTCCAAATATCAAATACAAACTGCATGTTTGCATAAGTATTCATCCACTTTACTGTGATAGCACACACCTAAATCATCACTGGTGCAGCTGATTAGAATTAGCAGTCACATAATTAGTTAAACTGAGAGAAGAAGAACAAGAAGAAGACCAGTGAAGGAGGCCATGCACCAAGAGATATGTGACGACTCTGAAGGAGACCACTGAAATGTATTACACTCAGACTGGGTTATTTTAAAATGCTGTTCAATTATGTATTAAATCTTCTTCCAGCGTAACCAGCAGAAATATAACTCAGTTATTACAATATTAGCTCCTCCTGTCTTCTGCTCAGCTGCTCTCAAAGTTGTTGCTGATCGTGCCTGAGGTTCTGCAGAAGACGGATGAAATGTCAGAAAAATGCAATGATGGTACACACACACACTCACACACACACATCATACAGTATGTAGTACATAGTTCGACTTTGTTGACATACTTCTCTTGTTGCCATGAAAATGTCATTAACAGACATTGTCACCAACTCACCAAGAACACTGATGTTGAAAATGGAGCTAAGAGTCACTTGTTAATATGATATCTTGAAGATTTCCTAAAGGTGAATAACCTCCTCTGCTTCCTCATCTTTTCTATGTAGCATTCAAACATCAGGGTTTGGCTGTAAAATGGTGAAAAAAGGAATTAAATCTTCAATTGTCTACCTCAGCTTGTCATTCTCTTTTTCCTGCACAAAACAAAGATGCGCAATGAAACCAGGCCAATATATGGAGCCTAGTTTAGGTGGAAGCTACTGGCATACTGTCACCTATGATTTTAAAGTCCTGTTTGCATCCAAACTCGAGATGTGCGGTAAAAGAAATCTGATATTAAATTGAATGCTGTTTAATATGCCACTACTGGCCAAAATGAAATGGTCACCACCCCTGAAATATTGTTTTACCCCCACCTGTCAGTTTCTTATTTGTTAAATCTAATCTCACTCTCCCCACCCAAACCTGTCCTGCTGCGTTCAACACTAACTTTTAGATCAACACTGCCTCCTATTGAGCAAAGCAGAGAACTACAGGCACCTACAAATACAACCTGGTAGAAATGTAATATGACATGATACCATTTGTTTTCACAATCTCTCCTGCTCCTCATCATTTCAAATCACACATCTCAATGTTTATGTTTTGCAGCATTATCCGCCATAAATCTGAGACACACAGGCATGATGTCAGAAGAGGTATTTTATTTTATATGTCAAGTGTACAAAAGAAAAAAATGACCCTTTTTCCTTCTTGTCCCACATTTACGACACTGTGCTGTGGCTAAGATATGTGGATCATGTCATCAAGCTCATCTGATCCATATACATTCTTTTTTATTCAAATTTGGAGATAAGAACAAAATAGTATTCTCTACAACACACCAGTGTGGGTGAAATACAGTGTTTAGAGTGTTAAGATTTAGAGCAGTCCACATTGTTAAACACCACAGAGATCCAGCCAAAAGATAGTGTGCTGCATGCTGCTGTAAACTGAGACGACTTCCTAATGCCAGTTAGCTGAGAGGTAACAGAGCAAATACTTGTTCTTGTTCACATGAGCGTTAAGTGTTATTGGACGGCCGTGGAATAAATTGGAATAAAGAGACTGAACAGATTGATGTGTAAATGTTGGCTTTTTGTTTTTCAGGAGTTTTTTTGGGGTGTAGAAGTTATTTCTTCAAATATATATTGCTTTAAATGAATAATGAGCTATGATTATAATGAGAACATTTTAAAAAGAAGAGGTCTACATTTTTCACAAAATAATTCTGTCATAAGTGGGTGTGTATTTATTTTGGGACAGTATTCTTTAACCTCTTTTCTGTCAGAACAGTAGTCTACATTTGACAATAACTTTCTTTTAAACTTGATGCTTCTCAAACACTAAATGATGTCTCAGCAATATTACAGGTGATGAACTGATAGGAAATAGCTGACCTGACTTAAGTGCTAAGACCTCTGGGCAGCCTCCCAAGGTTATGCATGACACCGATATCATTCATGGTTTGCACTTTAATGTAGAGTATAAAGTCATTTCAGTCCCATGTTGTAAAAGACACATCCTTGTCCCCTTGAGACTCTTACTGCATCTCCCTAATAAAGCCCCAAGAGAGGGGCATTCAAAAACTCTGGATGGTTTTTATGCTCAATCAGACACAACTTCCCCCAGACAGAGTTCTAAAATACTTTTCTCACTTTGATAAACAAGGTGACGCTGATACTCAAACATGGCGACATGAGGTCTACGGTCTAGTTATGACCTGAAAAATGTGATGTCCTGAGGTGTTTTTTTTTTTTAGCAACTTGGAAATGAACTGAGCTCCCTCAGCCCAAATTCATTCAGTCTCTGCGTGAAACCTACTGAGGACTCAGAAGTGTTAGAAGTGCGCTCCAGGAAAGTGATCCACTTATTTATAGACCTTTAATTAGACTGGCTCTCTGGAGGTTCTACCAGCCAAATGATGAAATCTCCCCCCACTTTCTGTGTCTCTCTCCTGCCAGCCCGCTCTCTCCCCTCCCCCGGCAACTCTGTATCAGTCCTCGATCCCTCACTGGCCCCCTCCATCACCACACCCTGCATTCAAGTTATGATGCAGTTCACGGGTAGCCTACTTTTGCCCTATATTGCCGTTGGGACTCCATCACAGGTTTCACTTGAGTCCAGATCTTACTGTGGATTAAACACCAGCTGAACGGTGAGTTTACCCTCTCTGCATAATGCCTTGCTAAAACACATTAGGCTGTTACATTACAGCCCTGCTTTGTTGTTTGCACTTTATGAATTCAGAATCTCTCCAGTGCACTGTTGTTATCTTTGTTTGAAATGTAAAAAATTGCTTTGCAGTTTATCAAATTTCTCATCCTGAAGTGTGTGTGTGTGCTCTGTGCTGAGTTTCTCATTGTCCCTGGCACAAGAGTTACTCAACAGGTCCAGGTTGTTTTGGAAGAAGGGATTGCGCAATCAAGTGCCGGAGCAGTGCTGTGCTACTGTGTTTCCCACAGCACGCAGGGTTTCTATTAAGCTGTTTACCACTGTAGGTTCTGATTGTGAATAATGCATGGAGTTTTAGTTATTCACCTAATTAATTGCTGTGTCGAATAAAACACATGTACACGAGCAGCTGAGGTGCACCAACTTCTAGAATAAGTGTTGCTTTCAGAATAATAGACACACTTTGTTGATCCCTGTTGTTAGACAATGTATGGTTCTCACTGCAAGAGGAGAAAAGCGTATTCAAGTAGATAGATATTGAGCGTGAAGTATTGACATGGTGCTTGCCTTCCGAGCTTTCTGCCAGAAAAGGGTTTATTTCAACCCAAAACCATGATCGTTTTCCCAACATAACAAAGTCAGTTTGTTGCCTAAACCGAAGGAGATTTCTGGCAGAAAATCCCGAAGACAAACTTCTCCCATGTGCTTCCAGTTTGAGCGTGTGTGTTCAAGGTTTTGGGTCTGTGATGAAAAGCTTTTGTTTGTGGTTCCCTGAGAAGCCAAGAGTAGCTCTCCAGATGCCTTGCAGTCTAATTGTCTGAGAAGATTTTCTTTATTTTCCTCTGTGTGACACTTCAGTTGCTCCAATCACACTGCAAGTACCCACAGCCTGTTTGTCCTTCAGGACCGCACTCCAAACCTAAACATGCTGGACCTACCAAGTGGTCTTTAACCTTTTCAAGTGTCAGGTCCTTCAGCAAGATACAATTATTGGAAATGACAGAATAATGTCTGTCACCTGACAGCTCAGTGTGTTGATGCATGGAAACAGGAACTAGAGGCCCAGACCAAGGGCACCGGATAGAGGGTTTCAGCTCCTAGAGAGAGAGAGAAGAGAGTGAGAAAGAGTGTGTGCGTCTGTGTGTGTGTGTGAGAGAGACACTGACAACACCACCAGATGGTAAACTGAGTCCCCATCTCACCGCTCACTGACAGATTCCTGAGAATCCTGCGCCTCTGTGTATACTGAGACACTTTGCAGACATGCTTTTAGACACGTATATGAATGTGTGTAGATCTCCGGTGAGTAAATGTAATGAACAAACTAAAAGCTCAAATCTTGTCCTGTACACTTTCCCCCAATATTTACACATATTACCATTCTTTCAGCTGTGTAAGCCATTTGATCACCACGGGGGGGGGGGGGGGGGGGGGGGGGGGGGGGGGCGGAGTGTTTGGGGCCGCCGTGGGTTGTTGTTGTTGTGTGTGAGAGTCTGTGTTCGTTTTGGGTTTGCGTCAGCTTCAGACACGGCGAGCAGTGTGTGTGACTCTGTGCTGAAGGCCCGTCTCTTCTCTCAGCAGGACTCCTTCCTGGTGAATGAGATGGCAGAGTGCGAGGCCGAAGGTGGACTCCCTCAGAGGCGCCTTGGTGTCAAGGAACGGCACAATGGAGAGCTGACTGGTAAAGACAAAAGACGTCTAAAATACAGCTGAGAAATAGATCAAACTTGCACTTAAAGATACTTATATTATCAGTGCATCAGTATTGAAATGCCTCTGTAAAGATGTAAATGCTCTTTTGTTGTGTATGCGTGATTGTTATTTGTGTGTGTACTTGTAATACCCACGCTGTGCGGCTAGACTCGGACCTGTCTGTGGATGAGAAGAAACAGAGGGACAGGGAGGAGCGTGAAACTCTGGTGTTATGGAAGAAACCTCTGCTCACACTTCACTACTTCACCCTGGAACTGGTCGACACCTTAAAAGAGTGGCTATGGAGGTGAGCCCAAGGGTGGGAGGCTACCTCCCCCAAAAGCAATCCTGATTTTCTGCAGAATTGCACCTGAGGTGCTCCTTTTATTTTCCATGTCCCGAAGGAATGCATTTGGTCAGTAAAAGTTTAACCCCGAATTTAGAGAGAAAGAGAGAGTGAAAACCTTATTGATGCTTGCACAAAAAACAATTTTGTGAGATAACGAGGTAATTATTTGATTTTTAGTGCCTCAGTGCAAAAAAAAACAACACACTCAGGACATGGCTTACAAGCTGTTTGATGAAATTCAATATACATTTAATGCATATAGGAAAAAAAAGCAGATAAAAGGTTTTTGGTTTGACTGCCTTATAAACTTAGATGCCGGTTTGACTGAGAAAGCACCATATAAATAAAGATTTTTGTTCATGCGTTGATGCCACTAGTGCCGACAGCAGCTAAGCAGTGTTTTTGTGTTGTCAGTTTTATTTATTTATTTATTTATTTATAGAGGTGCTAGTGCTGCTTGTCAATCTCATTTGGAAAAAAAAATGTTATGATGGCTGTGAAAGAAAAAAATAGCTATCATACACAATCTCAACCTCGCACACACACACAAAAGCACAAACAAAGGTGACCTTGACTGTCTCCGTGCTATCAACCCAGAAGGCCTTCTCTCTCGTACTGTAGTCTTCAGCCAGATTAATGGAGCCTATAATGCAGCACTAATGATCTGCTTATTTCTTTTCTCGCCCTCATAACTTTTAAACCTTACTGCGGGGTAGAGCTGGCGAGGTCTTTCCACCTCACTAACTGATGCCACCTCTCTCGCAAAAGCCAAAGCGTCACACTCTAGATCAGAGTTTGCTTTGATGACAAATTCATCACGCTGCACAACATGTCCTTTACACGCTTAATAATCTTTGTTGACACAGAGGGCCTAGAAGAAGGTCAGAGTGTACGCTCAGGGAGGCCTATGTGGTTAAGTGTGTGAGGACAACGTGTTTATTTTCTAAACTACAAGAGGATGTGGTGAACCGCAAGCACCACGAGCAGTGTTCTGACTGAGAGAAGCTGCTGCTCACCAACACTCAAAACACATGGCGTTGTAACTGCTACAGGGGGGTACACGGGAACCCGTTAGGACGAGCGCACAGGGAGGTTTATCTTGAATGTCGATAGAAGTGGTTTGTAATTTCTAGCATATGCACGGGGAGTCCTCAGGGCTCTGCACTTGTTTTGCTCAAGATGTAAATGCTGACAATGGTTGTGGGGAAAAAAGGGAGGGCTGTGATGGGTATATGTGAGAGACTCTTATTTTGTAAGAAATCATTGTATTCAAAATGCTGATAATTCTGCATTTCAATTTAAAACCCATATACACATCAGAAGTCTGATACAATTTGTGCTGCCCATTAGAGAACGGTTTACAGACATAAGCCATTCCTTAAACAGGAGCAGTATCACAGCATAATATAGGCTAAAGTCATTATAGCCTATATACTGACACCATTTCTTTATCAACACTAAACTGTGTTTTTTTTAGTGGACACACTGCAGGTATTGTTATATCCGGTTAACATGGATATTATAAAAACATATTTAGTGGCAACGATATTTATAGAGAAGTGTATTTTCATATAGAGCAGTGAAGTACGACACAATCACAAGTGGTCACTCCAGACCCACGTGGAGTCAGTAATACCAGGTGTGAACTGACGTCAGAGCTGTCCACGGCTGTCCGCAATCAGGCATGATGAGACAAGGGGCGTGTGAAGCTGGCCTCGAGCCCACTCACTTATGGCATACAGCTGCTCAGCACACCGGTAAGTTATTTAATGTGGGAACAATTCTGAGTTATCAACGGTAGCTAGCTAACCGTTTTCTAACCGTATTTAATGCTACCTTACTTACCTGAGGACAGTCATTAGCCAAAATACACTACGGCTAATGGCAAACACCAGTTTTACAATACAGTGTCAGCTGGCTGACTTAAGTTTAGCAAGTAGTTAGAAGTCCCCAATTACAAATTCTGCAATAAAGGACCTTTACATACGACATGTTAGCAGAATTAGGAAACACAAGTACTTCAAAGCTGTAACCTAACGTGACTTAAATAAAGTTACAGTTGAGTTAGTTACTTTAAATGTGGCTAACGTTGGCTAAGTATTTAGTGTTGTTTACTTTATGCCACTCCTAGCTAAAGTAATGTAACATTACTAATGTTACAACAATATTGAAATGAGTTACACAACACAGCAGGTATATTAATTTGCTAACTTTATTCAACATGTCTTAAGTTAATTTGACCCCACTCTCAACCATCACAGTTCAAGTGCATTAGCGTTATATGTGACCACAGCACTCTGCTAGCAGCTAGGATAACATGCGCCTCTTTAAATACACTGTAATAGTGAGGTTACCATAAAAGTAATATACCAAAGGGTTATGTACATATGCAGTGTAAATTAATGTTATTCAGTGGTGGTGTTATGTGGAGTAACAAATAAGATATTTAAAACCAGAACATTTTTACGATTTTCACACAGTTTCACACAGGTTATAATCTATGTGGGCACATAGCTTTACCTGTTCTTCTCAGCTTTCTGTTATAAAACTCAATTCCCTGTTACTGTCAATTTGGTTAACAGTAGCTATGTTTGCTCTGTCCAGCAAGCCTAATTTGACTGCGTTGTCCCGCTGCTTTCATGTTTGGTAATCCTCTCAGACAGATGCTTGAGAGCCTGAAAGTCTGGTCTTGACGAGATATCATTCCCCCGTTTAACACACAGGAGGAGGAAAAAAAGCGTCTCGCCAATGCACGTTAAATCTGGTTTTAAGTTTTTCTTCAAAAGGCTCACTTTAAAATGTGTGCGGTAAAACATAATCCATTTTGTTTATAGTGATCTCAGTTACCATACCTTTTCAGCAGTGCCCAACGTTTTTCTCAAGTCATGTATTAATCCAGAATTATATTAATTTCAAAATGACTGAGTACAGCTTTTTTTTTTGTTGCCAGCAGGTGGAGCTTTGCCCTATTGCCCAACGTGACCCATTGCCTCTAAGTGTATTTCCCACATGAATATTATTGATTATTATAATATCCTATTGGACATGCCGCTGCTGTTTGTGAAGCCTATAATTGTAACGTATTAATTCGTTTTTAGCAGATGATTCTTCCCCCAAAGTGATGTCTACTCTCTTCAAATAATTCCTTTCCATTCACTGATCCTGCCTCACTCATGCTTCTAATGATTCCTCATTTTTTTTCATCTGCCCTCACACTTTGCCCCCCTACTCACCATCTTTCTCCCAGTCTTGTATACCATTCACCTCTGCATGTTCACATTTTAACCCATCATTTTCCACCTGCATTTTCTTCTTCTCCTTCACCCAGGCTCTGGCAGCAAAGACAGACTGTGTTTGGCCTGCTGATCCTGCTTATCCTCCTCTCCATTGCCTACTGTATTGAAGGAACACACCAGAAGGTGACTGAATACTGTAAATATTTTACAGAGTACATTATAACCTTACTTTGGGTGCTGTTAAGGGGCACTACCTGAACTCAGGTCTTCCAGCTTGTTAGGCTGACATGAATCATAAAGTCTAGGTCTCTATCAGGGAGGGTATGAGGGTAATACATTTTTCTTTCTGTGCTGGTTGCTTGCCTTATAGTGACGCAGTGCAGGTTACAGTTCCCTGTAACGTTTTACCACCATAAGACTAATTGCAATACACATACGTACATACAACTGTAGCTCTAGAGTGAGTGGATGTCTATAATCTAAGGGTTGATGATTTGATCCCTGGATCCTCCTGTCCACAGGTTGGTGTCCTTTAGCAAGGGACTCAAGCAGCACTAGCACAACTAAGGTTGAAAAGTGATATTTACTATGTACGTAGGTCCTGCATAGGGACTATTGATTGATTATTGTGCATCTATCCCACATAGTTATTGGCTCAGATAACTGATTGGGATTCTCACCGCCGGAACACAAGTGCATATGAGAGGATATTTTCATGAACATCCTCTCTAACAAGTGTGTGAGTGTGCCGACATCATGTTAGTTTAATTATTAACTTCCTGGAAAGCCCAGTTGTACCTGCTAATCTTTTATGGCCATAGGGAAAACTACTGCAGCTGTGGCTATAAACCACAGCAGACTGTGCTACAGATCTGACTAAAACCCTTCCCCTTTCTTATTTTCCACTTTTTCTATATTTCCTGACATGTGCTGTAGTATTTTGAAACCTTTTGCCATAAAACGTTTTTTTCAATGTTATTAAAAGAGCCTCAGAAATTGTATAATCAGTTCTCAAAAACTAGACTACACATGGCTGTCACTGCACTTCCCAGCAAAGAGAGAGGCAGTATGTGGTGTTTTTGTTTTGCTGGGTTTCCTGGGAAATGGAGTCTTCGGTCAGAGCCTCCCCCAATCCCCACCACCCCTCTGTCCCCTCCCTTCTTCCCGTAACCCGTAATCTACCCACTGCATGCTTCCTCCTGAAAATGACCTGCCTTGGCTCGAGGGAGGAGGTGTAAACTGAGTGATAGATGGAGTGATAGTGGTGGATGTACTGCAGGAAGAGTAGCATAGAGAGAGAGAGAGAGAGAGAGAGAGAGAGCGAGAGCTTGCCTTGCCTTACTTTACTAGTTGTGTAAGAGCTGGCTGCCACCAAAAAGAATAATGGTGCTGTTCTTCTGTCAGCGTGCTGAACACTCCTACCCTACAGCTCTGTCCTCTAAACTCAACAACAACCTCTGTCTCTAAAGGTCTCTCTCTCTCTCTCTCTCTTCCTCTCCCTCTCTTTCTCTACCACTCACTTGCCCTCACCCACCCTTTTAAGTGCCCTGTGTTCTCTGTTTTGCACACTTTCACTCTTGTACCTTCTCTCACTCTCGTCTCTTTCCCTCCCCTCTTCTCTCTGTGCCCCCCTCTCACTTGTTTTCCTCCCACTCTGTGCATGTGTCTCTGCCATGTGGTTAACCGTCCCTCTTTCTGGCCTCTGTGCAGTATGTGCGCTACATGGAGAAGAAGACGCTGTGGTGCGCCTACTGGGTCGGCCTGGGCATCCTCTCCTCGGTGGGTCTTGGCACCGGCCTTCACACCTTCCTTCTTTACCTGGTAAGAAAATGTTTTCTGTGACTCCATGACAAGTTACCTTCCACTTTCACAGTGCAGTTATTTACTTGCCTGTGCATGTTTATGACGGGGCCAAAACTCAAACACAGTGGATGATGGTGGTGCAATGACGCAGGTCTCAAAAGGCTGTGTTTATGCTGTTGTTGGATTGTTGCTAAGGCTTTAATAAGAGCATCGTTGAAAGCTTTTGGAGGCTCCCTAGGTATTTGCACATGCATACGTGAGTTAGTATGGGTTTGTGAGTGTGTGCATTTCAGAGTGGGGCGGAGATGAATAGACGCTGTGGTAGTCACACTGTTTTGACAGACAGTCTAGGAACAATCGCACTCACTGACCCCTCTGACTGAGTGCACATGAGGATGAAAACACCCCCCCCCCTCCTCTCTGAGTTCTTTCTCCTTCCTTTCTCCCTGCTCTCCTACTCCCCACTGTGTTGCTCACTCTCACTTTCTCTTACACTCCCTCCTTTTACTCCTTCTCCTTTTAATGTCCTTCCTCTGCATACAGTCCCCCTATTACTCCCCCCTTTCCTTCCCCCTTCCTCTTTTCAGTTTTTACCCAAACTCTTCTCTGCCTCTGAGTGTTTTTGCTCCGTTTCGAGCGTGGGGAGGCGTTGGATCTCCACTGCTGATCAGATCAGGTCCCAAAACATCTGCTTGTCTTCACTGCTCTCCGTCCATCTGTCATCAGGGAGTCCACTGTAGCACTTGTATGCCCTTGCCCAGCAGAGCTGAACTGTAAACTGTGGAGTGCGTGTCCTCTATTCTGCCGTTTTTTAAAAGCCAAACTATGTTGCTCCCAAATGTAATTTGAGAGTTTTTTGCTACTCTCCTTTAGTGACCCCGCTCACTTTTTCACCAGGTTTTAATGTAGGATATCGCCATCTAGTGAGCACGGCTGCTACTGCAGCTTGTGGTGTCATTGGGTTCATGACAGAACTTGGTGCTCTTTGCTGGAGTTGCTGTTGTGCATTTTTTATAGAGTTGGACTGATATTGCTTTTTAGAGGCCGATACTGGGGCAGATATTCTGGATTTGAGCTGTTGATAGGCTACTTGATGTTTTGGTGTGGATATTCAAAAAAATTTCAAAATGTGATGTTATATGCCTCTGGATATGAAGAATCACACTTTTAAGTATTATGTGTTTCCCACAGAATGGACTTCTGAAACTACATTTAGACTATGAGAGTGCTACAAGCAAATTAAACGTTACAGGCTTTTAGAGACTGACAGACAATAATCTGTTGATGGCAATCCAACTTGTCCACACTGGAACAAAAGGTGAATACATTTTTAAATGGTCTGTGGTCAGTGAGGATCATTAATTACTTTCAAGATGTTAAAGACATTGGCTGATTTTTATTTTCTAATAAAAGTGTAGCCTGTTATTGGTCTTATGTATAACTCTTAACTATACATGTTTTTATATAAAGAACCCTGATCTAGTATCTAAATCCGCTCAAACCACAAGTAAGAAGCACAGAACTGACCTCAGAGAATTCTAATTACATGTCAACTTTTTTGTTGATGCTTTGAGATTTTTCAGTGATGTTGTTCATTTCTGGGTTCTGACAGATATTTTTGATTTCCGACAGTAAAAATAGTTTTTAGAATTTCTGTGGTCGGTGAACAGTGGCGAGTACCAGCAGACTCGGGTCAGTGATTGGATTAGATCAGATGTCCCCACATGCAGCTTGACCTTACTGGCACTGTCTTCCTTCCTGTCCATAGGACTTAATAATAAGCTAGAAATGAGAACTAAAGTGGGCCTCGATGTTTACCGGCTCTTGACTTTGATTTCCCTCTGTGTCAACATTTGGAAACAACACCACCACAGTTACTCTGTAAGTGGTGTACAAGTGAACCACTAGAGATGTACTCCAGCTGAGGGGAGAAGTGCCGCAATTCACTTTTATTTCACAGCTTCTCATCCACTTTATAATTTGGTGAAACACTTTCATTGCATTTTCCTGATTGTGAGGAGCAGAGCTCAAACAATCAGTAAATTAAACAATTTGGTTTAAGCAATGTCTTGCTCTTCTATGAAAGTAAACGGACTTCCGTGTGGTTGTGGACTGCTGGTCGGACAAAACAAGACATCCGAGGAGGAGGTCACCCTGGGCTCTTGTAATAGACATTTTTCAATTTTATTTCTATTTTTGACATTTTACAGACCAAACGACTAATCGAAAAAATAATCTGGAACTGAATAGACTATGATGATCATTGTAAGTTGCAGTCATACCTGATTATTTTGCTCAACATAACAATCTTTCACTGCACCTGGTGTTTGTAACTGAGCCGGTTCATTACTAGTAACAGTCAGTAGAGGGTGCCAGTGGTTTTAAAATGTTGATAAACCAGAAAAATTAAGAGCAGACTTGAATGGAAATACTTCCACATGTAGTATCATTCAATTAATACGAAGTATCAATATTTGTATTCACATAAAGGCTACAGCTGAAGATAAATTTATTGTCTCCATGGCAAATTAAAGAAACTTGACGAGCATAGTGACGTCTGAGAGACTGATGTGACAATCTGTTACCGCTAACAGGTGTTTTGTTGGAAATAAATGACCACACACGTTAACATATTAACAGCACACATCCTTTAGTGGTTGGCGGGACCAAGCTGTGAACATTGTATTATGAGAGTACTGCAGAGCCACCAACAGAGGGGGGGCAGAGCCAGTAACACATAAACCATCCCAGTCAATGAAACCAGAGCAGAAGTGGCAGCTCTCCTGTTCCCTGACATGGGTGGTTGCTGCCCTGTGTCGACTGTCTGCGTCTTTGTCCCGCTGAGACTGCGGGAGATCATTGTACACGGTCAGGACTGGTTATTGGAGAAAGATAAATCCCTGCAACTCCGGCGTGGAGAAGACGACAAAAAAAAGCACACTTCTTGGCACACCATCAAGTGTATTTTATCCAGCTGCTCTGAGGGAGGAGGTCGTGGGTGGGTGCTTAGAATACAGACCATGAAAATAATAAAATCATGCAGGAGCACTGGAGCGATCTGATTTCTGGGTTGCAGAGGAGAGGATCAGTACACACACTGAGAGTCTTGCACCTGCGCATGCATCTGTCATAATGATTGTGAAGATCGCAATTGTGAGTGGCAATGGCTTTCATCCCCACTTAAGTTTTTAAGTATTGTTTTTCCAGTGACAACTAGTGTCACTTCCCTCCATAAACCCTCTTTTCACTAAGAAGGGGTTAGCGATGAGTGTAACTCTTGAAAGCTTGGGAGTGCTGTAAATATTTTAGAAGAGAGCTCATCTGAGTCATCCACCATTAAATTACTTTCAGTAATGGCTGTTGCCATTAAGTCATTATGGGCAGCATGAAAATTGTTGTGCTCAACGTTAAATCAACAGCAACAAAGAATTAAAGTCATTATAATAGAAGTTGCTGTTTACATAATAACAACTAGGGTAGTCTTGTTTTCTGTCCGTCCTGGCTTTGAGCTGTTTTTTTAATGGGAGGTGTACATGTTGTGTCTCTCTGGGAGCTTGAGTTTTAGCAGCCACTGGGGGAAAAAACAAAAGCAATTCTTTAAGATTATAAACCTTGTTTGTAGTATGTTTATATCTCGTGATTTACAGTGCCCTGTCTTTCAAAAAAATAAACCAGTGGTCTATCTAAATAGTGGAACATGCCAGAGTTTTCTCTATTCAGTTTCTTTTAGGTTTGCTAAATTATAGGTTGCAGAGGAGGTTTGTGTAGAATATACAGATTTCCCCCAGCAAACCCCCTAAAATTGAATTTTGGCTGTTGACAATTACCAGGTGCACAGCTTTAATTAGCCCCAACTATTGCTGTAAGCGCTGAGCAGGTTGGAGAGTGTAGCTTCCAAACACTGTCCCTGCATTGTTGTTAATATCACACTCACACACACTCTGCTGCTCAGGTTCTTAAAGTTCTCCCGCTCATATGCCGTTACACAGTTAAGTGCAGTCCGCCCACACACTCGCAGTCTGACAAGAACATGTGGGTGAGGGAAACTCGGTCACGGCATGGCATGGTATTGGACAAAGGGCTGGTGTGTGTGTGTGTGTGTGTGTGTGTGTGTGTGGGGGGGGGGGAACACTACCCCTCACTCACCTGACCATTGTGTGGCTTTTACAATGACGAGCTTTGCTGCAACCCCAGAAGCAAACAATGGGGTACCATCACGTTTGCATAAACAGAAACCTAGTTGCTTTGTTTGAGTTGTGACTCACACAGTCGTGCGGGTCGGTATGACCTGTACTAAATTTTCCACTACTCATAAAGCTCACCTGACAAGTGTTGATTAGAGAGGTGTTTATGTCCGCAAAGCTGATAGTGCTCCAGGTCGGCTCTTTAGAAAGTGTTGAATTTACTCTGATGGGTGTGGATTTACTGGATATATAAACATTATTCATTCAGAATTTTCTTGACTTTGTTTGTACGTTCCTTCTGTGACAAACATGACTCAACAAAGTCACTCCTCTGTTCACCAAAGGGAGAATTGATACCGTGCATGCATGTTACCCGGATCATGAGTGACGCATCAGGATCATGTTCAGTTTCTTTGAAAAGCTCCTCTTGAGTCACCACTGGCGGCCAGTAACGGATCTCTCTCTTTAACTTAAACACCTCTTAAATTCAATCTGTAGCCATTCTTTTTTAACTACATCTAGATAGTGTGTCAGAACTTTATCTCTTGGATTTGATGCTTCCACGACTGAACAGGCGATATTACTTATGTGCCGTGAAGATACGTTGGTTGGGAATTTTACACTAGTAAGTTATGGATCTACAGCTGCTTGTGAGGGGAATCTAACTTTGGGTTGTATTTTATTTTTTTATTAGAATAGAATAGAAGAATAGAATAGAAATATACTTTATTCATCCCCAAGGGGAAATTTGTCCAAATTAAAGCTTTATTTAGCCAAGATATTTCCATAGAGATTTTGACGTCAATTTACAGGGAGGTCCTGGCCATGATGGCA